CTGTGTACGGAAATATAAAGCAGCCAGGGGTCTCATTGAAAGTGAATTAAACTGTTGGAGTACTGCAAAAAGGCATGAGAGAGCTATTCAATATTTCTGTTAGCCACAGAGGCTGATAGCCGCACACACTGACAGATACAGGAGAGTAAAGATGAACAGCTGAAATACCTTTCCCAGCGCAGAGACACTGACAGAACACCGGCCTGTACCACCTTCTACAGTGGGGGGAGGTGCAGAATTTGCATATCAATGAACCATAATATTTACATATAAATGATTCGCTGCCTATTTATATGTAGCTTATTTTTAGTGGTGGGCCAGTAGCCCCTATCTTAGTTTTGGTTGCCCCTGTCTGCCTGGCATTTTGTGTCCGGGTTCCAGCTGCCATAAAACCTGGACATGGCACTCAAAACTTGGACTGTCTGGGTAAATCTTGGACAGGTGACAACCCTACCCACAAGGGGTAATGAACTATACTAGTGGGTGCACCAGGTTCTGGTGCTCAGACACACCTAAGCAGATAGCAGCTGAACAGGAATAGAACCAGAGCTAATTACACAGTTGATAGTGAATATTGCTGCATTAGCAGGGACAGGCAAAAGGTTAGAGTGGGAATAGGGGTGGGGGGTCAAACAAGTATATTCACATACATACAATATGAGGCTGATAAACAGAGAAAAAGGGACACAGAAAATAACATTGACTGGGGCTAGGAGTCTACACTAATGCTCAGGCATGTCATGTAACAGAGGAGCTGTCAAGATTACATGAAAGGAAACTAACAGATTTTTTCACTACAGGGTGAAGAGTTTGGAGAAGGCAGGAGAAGTGAACAATCTAGGACACCATAGCTGAACTGGAAAGTGAGCCGAATTGGAGAATTTTTCCAGTTCAGCTCTGTTGTCCTAGATTGTTCACTTCTCCTGCCTTCTCCAAACTCTTCACCCTGTAGTGAATAACCATGTTATATAAATGTTTTGTTGGCTGGCAGTTTTATGCTCCTCCAGCAGCTCTGACAGGGTTCAGTTATCAGCCATAACTCCACCTCCATTGCCGGGCACCACCTCCTCCTCCCTGCCTCCTGCGCTGCCAACGCCGGACCCAGCCTCCTCCTCCGCAGCTGCTGGCTGTCATTGACTCAGGGGCGGTTGTGAGGAGGAACGCGCCGCTTCACAAATCACTGACAGGTTGTTAGTGATCTGAACAGCAGCGCATTCCTCCTTACAGCCGCCAGTGACAGCCAGCAGCCTGCGATGCCATAGCGACCCAGCCAACCCGCACGGCATCAGGGGGACCCCTTCGTTCCTCATCCTGGCCAAGCCCCCAGTGCCTCGGGCCCCGTAGCAGCTGCCTGGGTCGCTATGACGATAGTTACGCCACTGATGTCACCTTAATGCACAAGTACAGTGTAGCGCTCACCCCCGAAGGAGCCAATGGATATAAATTGGGTGTTCCTACCTGTTTGCCAGCCACCAGCCTTTTTCCTTAGCTCCAGCAACACAAACACTTTAGGATAGAACAGGCCCGACTCGTAGGGTCTTTTTAGTATTTATTGCTCAATAATAACTAGGAGAGAGGGTTAGAGTTTCAGGATACCCGAAGAACAAAATGGAGGACAGTGTCTTCACTATTAGCAACAGCAGTAATAGGTAGCAACAGGTCCTGTAAGAGCGACCAGTGATAGGTAGTAGCCCCAGAGAGCAGCCAGGAAAAGTCCAGGACTCTGAAGAAGAACAGTCACAGGACTTACAGTGCACCAACTGGCTTCTCTTCTGTATAGTACCTGAGTGTAGGGTGAGGGATCACTTACAGGGTCCAGATGGCAGCTCTCACCAGCTCCTCTGCCACACTCTTCAATAAGCAGATTCCACCTCCAGCCCAGCTTCCATCAGGTTTTTTTCTCAGTAACATCTTAGGCCTCTGGGCCCCCAGCACCTGCCACATGCTGAGGCCTAGGCCAGGCATCTTGCAGCACACAGACCTCGTCCCAGGGGAGAGAGAGAGAGAGAGAGAGAGTTCTGGAAGGTGTTCCCAAATAATTATCACCTTACTCCAGCCATACCTCTTAGTGAGCCTACTCAGGGATTGGACAGATGCATATTCATCCTTCATCCATATTAATCCTCCCATAGTGTATGCTGAGGGCTCCAAACCAGCAACAGGTAGAATCAATCAATCCACCAGACGTAGGGAAATCTGCAGATCTCAGAATAATCAGCATCCAGACTGATTAGTCTAGATATAACACTAAACTTAGTAGCGGCATAGCAGAGGGTGGTACAACAGTATCTGTCAATGCACCCAAACCAGGACGTTGGTTGCGTGCACTGCATTACTAAAGTGTTGCTAGGACTTTTTTTGACCATTATGGTGTATTGGCAGCCCCTTCAAAACGAATGGGTTGCCTTAACACAATGTGCATTAGCGCTTGTACAGTGACACACCACAATAAGTCAGATTAGAGTTAACCCCCCCACCCAAAAAAAACTAAGTGCACTTTGAATTAATTTCAAGGGCTTGAACTAATTTAAACTGCACCTATGAAATGCTCTCAAGCTGTGGATACATGTATTATATAAAAACATTTAGCATTTAAAGTGAACCTGCCCACCATTTTAAATTTTGAATCTTATTATTTGGGTCCTGACATCCCTGTTATCAGTGCTAAATCTGCTACATGCAACCCCCCCTGTCCAATGAGAGTGTCTCAGTAAAAGGGGATACCACTTCACTTTTCTGTACTGAATACACCCCCATATGAATGTAAAGATTGGCAACTATCTAATGACAGAATCTCTCCTATTTTCTACAGGAGTCTACGATACCCGAGGTTACTGCTTACTATTTTCATATTTGCTGGAATTATTTGTTTGCTGACCATAATACAGGATCTGAACAAATCAGTATGGTAAGTGGTAAGAGCCTTCTTATCATAAATACTAATTTGCCCCAAATAGGGAAAGATTAAAAAAATAATAATCATGCGGGTTTAAGTTAATCAATCCTCTAAAAGATTTGGGATAATAGCAGTTATAGGGATGCACAAGTGAACCACTTCACCCAGTTCCAAGAAGGAACTCTCAAAGGCAGTCCAAGTATTAGATACAGTACCAACCAGTCTAATTTTCCTTTTCATGTACTGGGAAATTTAAAGGAAAGATATGTTTGCTGTTCTAGTCATTTGGTGCATACCCCTTCTTAGCTACGTATGTGAGCTGTATATCTAGTGTAACAGGGACTTATTTTTAACTGAGTCCCTTGCACCTTGCTGGAGTCCAAAGCGTATCTATGTTCCTGCCCTTTGCAGCAGCAAGTGGAATCCTCGGGTGATAGACATAACAGTAGAGATGGCCGCACCAGTACTATAAATGGGATGAGCTGACTAGCCTGGCAGGTCCTTTCAGAGAACACATGGAACAAAGAGCTCCTAATTCTGTGGCTCCACCATCTTAGCTGATTGCACAGGGTGCCAGGCCCAGAACACCAGGTGAATGATATAGTAGTGCTGACTCAATTTGTGTGTGTACTTTCCATTTTGCCCTTTCTATACTATCTTACTGCTCAAAGGATCTCATGTAGCTATGGTTATCTGTACTCTCTCACGCCTTTTTAAGATGGGAAAATAGGGTCAACTTTTGGTATCAAACTTTTAGGTTAATGAAGATGAGTAGACACCGGCACTCTAAAATTACATGATTTGGCCTGATGAAGGGGATCCTGCGTGACCACGAAATGTTAGTATGTGATATTATACGCAGATTTCAATTAAGACATGTTCTTCAATAATTGTGGAGTGCAGCTATCTTCTCATCTTCATATCCCTTTCGGCACCATCCTTTTGTCACCACAGCACCCGCCAGTTTTCAGGAACCAAACGGTTAGGAGTGGGATGGGTTCATGGAAATTAAACTTTTTGGTAAGACACATGTCCTTGTCATGTATCTAAAGTCATGCTTCCATCATTTCATCATGGCAGGCGATATTCTATTGGGTGGACTCTAAAATTAGAAGCAACATTCATTTTTGATAGCTAATCAGTGTAGTGGGGCCATACAAATTCCATTCCTTAATGCCCCAATGGCCAGCTGCACATCCAGAAGTGCTACTATATAGTACAGATGCTTTGCACTAATACTATACATCAGCAAAAAAATACAGTTTTCCCCAAAAGGGGATCCCACCATTCCTTCAAAGTATGCACAAAATATTTATAAAAATATATTTATTGTAGGAGTATAAAAATATATAATAAACATATCAAAAAACATAAACCAACATATATATATATGGCTGCATTCAGTTAGTAAATTTTAAACAATGCTGTGGAAAACAAAGTAAAGGCATGTCCTGGAAAAGCCTTAATTTTATGATATATGATAGTGATACCTGATATAGGAAAAAGTTTCCCTAGTATTCAAAATTATTGACTTGGGAAATAGTGTCCGTATATATGAAAAAATAGCTCTGTATTCAAAAAATACACATGCATGTATATGGAAGAAAAAGAAAAAGAGGAAAAACGAACAGTCAGCATCAAAATATAAAGAAAAGAATGGATATTAACTCACAGTGAGATATGTCCTCGTTTTAGGATCCGGTTTGAAGACAATAAAGTGATGTTATTACTGCTGTAACTGAATCCGTTTGAAGAGAGCAGGTAGTTCAGGAGATGTAGCTCTATCTCGGCTTTTGAGCTGGTTGTTGTAAATCAGTGCCTTAACTGAACTCCTGTGTAGATTCCATTAAATTTTTAAATCCAGATCATAGGATAAAGTGCAGATAGAGAAGCTTTTCTTTGCTGGATCACTGTAAAGTTATTGGATGTCCTCTTTCCCAGACGGGGATACAGAGATCAAAGGTGGTGTTGTCGTCAAATGTAACGAAAGCTGTAGTGATAACTGTAATAGGTTCAGGAGATAACCTTATCTCGGCTTATTTAGATTGTATGGGATATAAGCCTTTAATGAAACCGCAAAGTCTTTATCCTCTATTTTCGATGGATGGGCACCAGGTATGTTCTTAAAGTTTAAAATATATCAGGTAAGGGTGACTTGTAAGTATTTCGAATCACAGGGCGGCCTCCAACAAAGCAGCTATATAAAAGAAAGAACCTCTGCTAAACGCCTATGACGCTTTTCACACACTCCCACACCGGGGCTTCATCAGAAGGGCGTTGTTTAGCACAGGTTTTGATTCTGCTATTTAAGTACATCGAACATAGTTACTTTAATTGGTAACACGTGAAAACTACCTGAAAGAGATCACGTATTCATGTGTGTCCCCACAGGGCCTGTTCTTTTAACCGGAAACCAGTCCAGGAGTAATAATTTTTTGATTTCTTTAAGCTAATCATTTTTTAATTAGAGACAGATCATATTAACGTATATATATATATCTCTCAAAATATCATATAGTTTACATACGGATTCTAAATCTATATTTCACAGAGGATGTGTCAGATGTTCTGCATTTTTTTTTTAATTTTTCTTTTTAATTGTTTTACATTGTTGACCTGTGAGTGAAGAACAACCTGGCATGAAGGATATCTAAAATGGAGAACAAAGAGATATATTGAGTCTGTTCGTTTGGTGTTAGTCATCTCCTAGGGGATATTTCAAAGCTCCATTAACCAAGATATCTGTTGTAACATATAACTCAATAATATTGTCACATGTAACTTGGAGACTTTAACTCTTTATTGTTCTTTTTGTAAACTCCGAGATCCTTCATGTCATCTTGATCCCCACAGTAAACACAAAAAATACAAAAAACAATCATACATATATATTTGTAAGCAAAACTTGATTCATATATAACAAATCCGGATATTAAGGAAATATACCTTAACCCCTTCGTGACGGGAGACGTACAGTGTACGTCCCGGCGCTTTGTGACTATATGACTGGCCACGTACACTGTACGTGACGAGTTATATCAGGCTTTGTAATGCTGGTAACAGCTGATTCTCAGCAGTTACCAGTCATTAATGAATGCCTCAGTATTGAGGCATTCATTAATGAAATAATTAAGCTTTTTGTAAAAGCTTCTTCCTTTCATTAATTAAAGAATGAAGCCGTTACATGCAAATACAGGACCGCAATTAGCAATCCCGTATTTGACAGCTGAAAATAGCATAGAGGTAGCAGTGACTCACCTCTCTGCTATTTGTTTTGACAGCTCGAGAGCCCGATGTTTAGATACATTTCACTCAAAAAATACAATGTATATCTTTTGAGTGAAATGTATCAGTTCTGATCGTCTAGGCACGATCAAAGAGCTTTGCGGGAGATCTGAATCTGACTAAAGTCAGGATCAGTCTCTAAGGTTATTATTAGCTGTTCCTAAGTTTGGATCAGCCTAATAGCCAAAAATGTAAAAAAAGTTAATTTATCAAGCAGTCATAGTGACTGCTTGATATAAACTGACAAGAAAAAAAAATTTTTTTTTCTTTTTTTCTTCTACAAAGTGTAAAAAAGAGGACATCTGGTCCAGAGAGACGATTTATCTATGCACCTGTGCCATGTACTCTCCTGGCACAGGTACATAGACGATATCTTGATTCTCTGGACCGGGGGAAGGAACCTCTTGGAAGATTTTGTCGATGTTCTAAACTTTAATGATCTAAACCTTAGATTTACCATGGATATGAACGAATCACAGTTACCTTTCTTAGATATCTTTATTTGTAAAAGCGAAACAGGTACACTATATACTAAGCTGTATAGGAAGAGCACTGCTGGGAACTCTCTATTAGAGGCCAGCAGTGCTCATCCTCAAAACCTTAAGAACAGTATCCCATATGGGCAATACCTCAGGATAAGGCAAAATTGTAGCCGAGAGGAGGACTTTGAATCTGAGGCAAAAAATTAAGGTGTAGATTACAACAAAGAGGATATTCTGACAGCACCTTACAAAGAGCTTATAATAAAACCAAAATTAACTATAGACCAAATTGGACAAAAAAAATTAAAACCAGGATGACCAACTCAGACTAATCCTTACATATAACAACCAGCATCAAGCAGTGAGGGATATCCTAACAAAACATTGGCACTGTTTATTAAAGGATTTCAGAATCTCTAAGTTCCTACAAAAGAAACCAACAATAATATATAAAAAATGCCCCTCTCTAAAAGACAAATTAATCGCCAGCGAATAAAAAACAAATAAAAAACGATCCTGCTGTAAATATCCAGGCACTTATAAATGCCAAAAGTGCAAATTTTGCACTTTTATTCAGACTGGATATTTATAAACACTGCCATGTACTGACCGAAATGTATACCGCATAAGTTATTGCTATAGATACAATAATGTGTATTCTAACATGAACAACTCTTTTTCCAAGAAGATTCTACTGTACTATCCACTTTTGAGTTGGGGCTCTTTGATACCCTTAAACCCTTCTCACCATAACCTTCAGTGTTATATTTTCTGGTCGGGCAATATACACAAGCTATGTAACTTAACTAAGTGGAAAACAGTCATTTTAAAAGACCTGACATCACATGTATTTTCTTATCCAACAGCGATATAGCACAGAGGCCAACTAAGAGCTCGTCTAATATTGATGTTATAAAGAAGAAATCATGTCTGCCTCAAACACATATTCTCTTCCTGAAAACTCACAAGACGGGCAGCAGCACCATCATGAACATCCTGTTCCGTTTTGGAGAATCACACAATCTGACCTTTGCCCTACCGACTTATGACGCAGCACAGTTCTTTTATCCTTTATATTTCAATGCAGCTTTTGTGGAAGATTATATAAGGAAGGCCATTCATCATTTTGATATCATGTGTCACCACATGCGATTCCATTTGGGAGAGGTAATCTGTAAATAGATATCACAAAGAAAACATACAATATAATGGGTCAGTTCATTAGAACTCTAGGTAATTCAAAGTGAAATGTGGAGTATACAATTACTTGCCAGTGTCCATTAGTGCATAGAAGGTCCTACAACTTGGTATACCAATATCTGAACATTTTTGGTTCTGGTCCCGATGCACTGAAGGTGCTTAGGTAACAGAATGTAGCACTGACAGACAGTTTTTAGAAGCTCCCTATTCCCCCAAGGACACTCCGCAGGTTAAGTGTAAACTACCCTTTACACTAACCTCTCACTATCAGTGGCATATCCAGGGCATGGCACATATGGCACATGCCCTGGGCGCCACTTGAAGGGGGCACTGTTCTGAGGATCAGCAAAAGTTGGCCAACCCACGGAGACAGAAGACTGTCCGGCAGTAGCAGGGTTTGAATAATGGCAGTGGTAGTCTTTGCCACTGTCATTTTTCAATCTGCACTGCTGCCGGTTAGTTGCTGGCACCATCCAGCATCCTAGCACTCAACCACCAGCAGCCAGGGACTTGAATGATTACAGCAGGATGATTACAGCAGCCCCTCACTGTCAGGCCACGCTGTTTGATTATTTCACAGCTTTCTGAAATAAGCACCCCAAATCTTTTTCTTCTGTAGGGAAGAATTATCCTTTAATTTAAAGCGGACCTTCACCCCCTTTGACTAAAAATAACATCAACATACAGTTCTGCATGCTAACCCTAAGTGTAAATGGGCCCTTCATTTATTGAAGTGTATGTCAAGCAAACAGTTTTTTCTTTTACTTTTTAGTTTTGACTAGAATGGTGAAGGATTAGAACCCCTGACAGGTTGTTTACTCCTATTCAGAGCTCCATTAGAGATCAGATAAAAACAAAACAGATGTCACTGTTGTGATATCCATGTCTATTCAGTTTTTTCCTCCATCTTGTACTGTAGGAAAAGACTGAGCTGTACGGACCCATGCCAGGTCTATGTGGAGACGGATGTAAGTGGACATGTATCCATTTACATCAGACTACCTCTGATCCATCACAATCAGGTCCGTCAAACAGAACTTTGTTCTTTTTTTTTTTTTAGGACCTAGATCAGTGGTGGCGAACCTTGGCACTCCAGCTGTTTTGGAACTACAAGTCCCATGAGGCTCTGACAGCCACAGACATAACTCCCAGAGGCAGATGCATGTTGGGATTTGTAGTTTTGGCCCAGCTGGAGTGCCAAGGTTCGCCACCACTGACCTAGATGGAGTCGGGGATAATTGAATGTACACGGCGCACATCCATTTACATCTGGCAGCCCATAGAGCTATACTGGGTTTCTGATCAGACCGGCCTGAAAAATTGACAGATTACCCATGTGACCTTCCTGTCCTGCTGACAACATTTTTACAGGAAGTGGAAAGAACTCTTCAACAGCAACACAGAAAGAAATGTAGATGCTATTTTTTAGAGTGGGAGAAAGGTAGAACCCTTGTCAGATTGTTTTTGTATGTCTGTGTTCCTGTTGCAGAATTTTCCTCACTTCCTGTCCAGGAAAACCTTTGTCACTGGGACAGAAAATAAGGGTAAATTCTTGTGGCAGAAACAAAACACATATGGGTTCTAATCCTTATGTACTTTTTCTTAAACACAAAAAAAATTTGGCTTGACATACTTTAAATGATCCCATGTAAGGCAAAAAATATCGACAACCTGTATGGCCTATTGCATAACACATGCTTCTAGCACTGTTAATGTGTCATATATCAAACAAAACTACAAATATACATTTGGTTTAACCTTTACTTACAGGTGGAGAAGGTGATGCCGAAGGATACTTTCTATTTCACTATATTACGAAATCCTGTGTCGCTAATGGAATCATCTTTCACATATTTCAAGGCTATAGACATCTTCATTAATGCTAGTAGCCTGGAAGAATATATAATGAATCCCTATAAATTCTATAACAAAACAAGTAAATACAGCAGTTATGGCAGAAATTTAATGACCTTTGACCTTGGTTTTGACCACAATGGACCAAAGTCATCAAAGTACTTCCAACTAGCCCAGAAAACTGTAGAGATAATGTTTGACTTGGTCCTTATATCAGAGTACTTTGATGAGTCACTAGTGCTTCTGAAAGATGCCCTTTGCTGGACTTATGATGATGTCCTGTCATTTCCGTTAAACATCAGAAGTAACTTCACCAGAAATGTCCTCCCTGTGCGTGTTCAGGAGAAGATCAAGATTTGGAACCAGCTGGACTGGCAACTGTATGTTTATTTCAATAAAACTTTTTGGGAAAAGGTGGATGAATTTGGACGAGAGCGGATGCAACAAGAAGTAGAAGAACTTCAAAGGAGGAGGACTTTGCAATCGAAGATCTGCCTACAAGGTCAAGTGGATCCAAACGAAATAACAGATGAGTCTCTGAAACCATATCAGGCCGGGATAGCCAGAATCCTGGGTTACAACCTGAAGCAAGGGCTAGGAGGGGCTGAGAGGTCACTGTGTAAAAGACTTGTCACCCCAGAGCTTCAATACACCAATTTGTTGCTGAACAAACACAAACAAAAAACTGGTAAAACTAAAATAGTGAAAAAGATTCTCAAACGCAAAGTTTCCAAATTTGGCCACAAATAAATAGCGCTTTAATAACATATATATACTCTATTTTGATTTGTTTTTCTTTGCATTTTAAACAATATTTCTTAACTTGGTTTTAAACAAAGGGGTTTAAGTGAATTAACTTCATACACAAAGTTCAAGATATGGCAATAAGTGTATACAGTCATCAAACTGCACAGATATTGAAACTGAATAAACAGAGTTCATAGGAAGTAAAAAGATCTAAGAAACAAGGATACACAGGTCGGCTGCATCCAAGGTCATTTTTCAAAAGAATTGAATCATGTTAGTATACAGTCACAAAAAAGTGGCAAAAGAAAAATCTAAATCTGACACATTCCACGAAAAACTAAAAAAATGGACCAGAAAACTTATTGGCATCCCTAATTAATATTTAGTAGCACAGCCCTTGGAAAAAAATAACTGAAATCAATCGCTTCCTGAAATTATCAATGAGTTTCTTACACCTCTCTACAGGAATTTTGGACCACTCTTCTTTTGCCAACTGCTCCAGGTCTCTCAGATTGGAAGGGTTCCTTTTACCAACAGCTGTTTTGAGATCTCTCCACAGATGCTCAATGGGATTTAGATCTAGACTCACTGCTGGCCAGTCCAGCACTCTCCAGCGCTTTCCCTGAAACCATTTCTGGATGCTTGTTGACGTGTGCTTTGGGCCATTGTCCTGCTATGAGACCCATGACCTCTGACCAGTGGCGACTCTAGGAACAATATATAGGGGGGCACATAAGATACCACAGTCAAAACTGGGGGGGCACTAATAATTTTCACCACTAAATCATACCTGTCACTGTCATTAAAATGGGTCTGTCATCCACACCGCACATTACTATGTTTTGTTGCTGTAGAGCTTTGTGATACACATGATCCAGGCACAGTGTGAGGGAGGGAGTGCCCCAGACTTAA